TAACGAACTCCAAGTTACTCTTTCGCTGCTTATCATATATGTATAAGTCTAAGTCTGTTAATGCTTCCTCATTACTGTTCATCTTAGGAATGATGGCCTAATCTCACATTATACTTTATAATTTTTATCCTGATAACTTAACCTTTTATGTAACACTATCGCTAGGGTTCACGTCGCATCGAGGAACATTAGAAGTGATTTTCCTGATCCACCTGGGGCCGATACTATATTTCCATAGCCCTATTTCATATCATAGTCATCCCATGTGATTCACCTTATATGGGTATTTTAATTCTGTACAATTCATGAAATCCCCCTTTTTTTTTTCTTTAAATCATTACTAAATCGAAGGCCCAAACATCATCCTTTATTTACCCCAATTACACCCTTATTCTACTACCAGGGCAGCATTCTATCTCTTCTAAATGCTACTAGTCTTAGACTCCTTTGAGTCATTCAGACTATACTGAGCTATCTATAACTTAGAGAAACCATCAGCTCTTTTGTTTTCACGGGCTTAATCCTGACGACTTATCCATTTTCGTCATCTTCTCACTTTTCCTTTCTTATCCTTACTCATGTCTTCCTAACACCTTGTCGATCTACCATACTTTAGCTTGCGACCTACACATATCTATTTATACTACTTGCAACCTTCCTTCAACTTGCTTTCACCATAGATTTCCTTGTGTTATTCTAGAACATCAAGCGAGATATCGCATCGTCTCTAACTCTCCTTTACTCTCTTAGCTAGACCTCTCGATATTTAGAAACCATAGGTTGTAAGGCATGCCACTGACACTATCATTCATGGATACTGAATCCCAACGCTTCTAGCCTTCTATCTGAAGTAAGGACTATTCACAACCTTCTGTATTTGAGTATCTCGTATGTTGTCCACCTTTACTTACTTATCTTAAAGTCTCACATTACATCTTCTATCTCTTTCATAACCTCCTTTCCACATAGGTATAATTTACATCCATAACTTGAAGCTCTCTTATAATACTTGCACCTCTGGTGCATACACAATCTGGTGGTAGCTCTACACTAACTTTCATGAGGCTGGTACTTTTCTAACTTGCTTTATTGTAGAGCCATTATAGAATATGGTTTTTGTACTATCTCTCTTGCACCTGTGATATTAAGAGTGATTCTACTATGTTCTTAATCATAATTTCTACAATTTTCTAGGTCCAATAATCAGACTCTTGATTTACTTAGTTGATGCAATTCTTTAGTTTCCTCTTCCCTCAGATCAGCTTTTATGTAGGCTTAAGCTATTTTTCGATCTGCGGCTCATGGTAATACTTTAGCCTTTCATAGATGCTATGGAATATCCAGGATACAATCTTCTAACAATTCAATCCTTGGTCTATGACCTGGTATCAATTCTTTCTTTTAACTTATACCAAAGTCTTCTACGACTGTATGATTGTGAACATATATGCCATATGGATAATACTCTAAACTCTTAAGTGCGTTCATAACGTAACTAACTCTGGATCATTGATCAAATAATTCCTTTCGTTCTTTCTCATCTTTCTTTAAACGTAAGATATTACTTTTTTTGGTCTTTCTACCCCCATGTTGCGTGCATACTTAGCTTATCTTTATTCCCACGCATGCCAGAGTCTTCGTGCAACTCATATGATCTCGAATATTACTCTTGATTTCACTTCCCGTTCATTAACCATGATAGTTGTCACTTTCTTTTGGAGTGCTTACAATGTTGTTGTAAGACTGTTGTTACACGACCATTTCCTCTTCAGGTTAATGTTCTTAGGTTGAAGCCTTCTTCCTTATTTACTCACCTAGTCTTTCGTTGTAGTTCTTAGGGAGGCCTTCTAGCTCTTGTAAAGTTACAAGCTTGTTATATTGTTTACCCGACATAATTGTTTTTGATGTTCGTACTCACCTATAATTGTCCTTAGCTACTTACCTCCACACTCATGTGCTGGTACGGTTGCTTCTAAACTGAAGTTTTGACTGTCTTCCCAGTGGGACTCTCTTTTATTTCAGTAAAACTCATACGATACCTTTAACTACTGCAACTCCTATTTGAATATTTCTCAAGTATTACAATGATATTACAGCGAGGTTGAATTCACTATATTGGGCTTTAATATGCTTATCTTGCCCTATCTGCTTATTCATCTGTAATATCCTCTCTAGCCATAACTAGGCTCTTCCTAAATCAACTGCCAACTACTCGTTGGCCCATTCTCATATCAATATTTCGCATAATCCTTTTTAGGTTATTTCCTTTGTCTTAACTTACCTCTCACACTGGCTCCTTATTTATCCATAAAATCCTGAGCATGAACCTTACTTCTTTTCCTTGACATAGTTCTTGCATAATGTTTTGGAATCGTAGCATATCTGTAGGATTTAAATAAGTGCAATCTCATCACTTTCTCATTTTTATCGCATTCTTTCTTTACCATTCCATAGTTACTAGAACCACTTAATTCTGACTTAATATCACATCACTCCATATTCCCCCCTTTAGGAGAGTACTAAGATTTAGTGCGACGATGATCTACGTATAGATGTTTTACCTCTTCATTTTAGGCATCTTTTCACATCATCGATGACCCTTACTTTCCTTGCGGTAATCTTTCTATGCCAAGGATAACGAAATTTCCTTACTCGCGATGGTGACACTTAGTGTAACTGACACATACATGCCTTTAAGTTTAACTTTATTCACATTGCTTGTTTTAGGGAAACGTCTTCCTGAATGACCATTCTCTGAATTTCTCATGAATATTCTTCTGTTGTCCATTCTATTATCGCCAAAATGAAATATGAAATTCTCATGATATTGACCATTATCGAATCACTCAGTTCCTAATTCATGTCTAGTTTATCTTGTTAACCAATCTTTCTTTTCTATTTGGATCTTTCTGAGTTCATTTAGAACTCTTTCAGTATCTGCAAGAGCAATATCAACAAATTCTTGAAGTTCATAACAATTAGGACAAGTAGGAAGACGTACCTCACTGGTTCCCTAGTCTACCATAAGGTCAAGTTTACCCGAGTCTTCTTCCTCATCTACTCCTTCGTCTGCCATGAGTCCAAGCTCTCCTGAGTCCTCATTGCTATCATCTTTTATGGCCATGAACCACATGTTTGCAATTTCTTCATGGTCAGATTCTTCTTCATCACTCCAGGCTCCAAAGGACTTCTTCTTTTGAAGGTTCCTGCTGAGCTTCTTCTTCAGTTCGGGACAATCAGCTTGAATGTGTCCATGTTTTCCACATTCATAGCATCTTCCATCATTTTCATTATTTTTCCTTCCTTTTTTGAAGTTTGATTTTTGCTATTTCTGTTCTTCCTCATCATGCCTGTTACAACTTGAGAGAGCATGGCTATGTTTTCATCATGTTCTCCTTTTTCCTCTTCTTCTTCTTCTTCATTTTTTGGTTCAGTCACAGTTGCTTTGAAAGCAAATATTTGTTTCTTTTCTTGTTGAATTTTCCTGTCCAGGTGAGTTTTCTCAAAGGCTATTAGATCACCTCTAAGCTCATCATATGATATTTTGTCAAGGTTCTGACACTCCAGAGCAATGATCTTGGGCTACCAAATTGTGGGTAGAATTCTAAGAATTTTTCTGACCTGTTCTCCGCTCTTTATTGCTTTACCAAAGGATTTTAGATCTCCAAGAATTTTGCTGAACCTGGAGAATATTTCTTCTTCTGATTCTCCGTCCTTCATTTGAAATATCTCATATTCACGAACCAAAAGATTTATCCTTGTTTCTTTTACCTTATTTGTTCCTTCATATGTGACCTCTAATTTATCACACATTTCCTTAGTAGTTTCACAGCTTGAGATCTTTTCATATTCTTCACCATTGATAGCATTGTATAGTAGATTTTTCCTTTAGCATTCACAGTTATGATGGCGACTTGCTCGTTGGTGTAATCATCCAAATCAAGTGGATCACTTGACACTATGACTTGACCATTATCATCTTTCTTTGGCGGAATTGGAAGATTTCCATTTTTGATCACCCGCCAGACTTTGATATCATGTGACATGGTGTATGTTTCCATACGCACTTTCCAATGAGAAAAGTATTGTATGTTGAAATATGGTGGTAGTACTTGAGAGGTTCCTTCTTGAAACAATGCACCAACGACTGTAGCCGATCCCATGATCTTTTTCTCACTAGATTTTAAGCAATGTTTGTGAGCCTAACTCTTATACTAATTGAAAATACAAGAGGGAAGGTGAATCGTGGTTTATTAAAAATTGGTTGACTAAATGTAAGTTTAGTCGACTAGGTTTCACGCAGCAAATAAGTAAAGTAAAGACGAATCAAACGAATTGAAAGTTAAACAAGACACAACAATTTTTATACTGGTTCGGTACCGGTGTGGTACTTACGTCCAGTTTCCCTTGGGTCACAAGGTTCTCTTAGATCTTGATAAAGGATTACAACAATGATGGTATTAGTTCGTTCACCACCAACGATGCTTTACAGTAATTTTTGGATGTTGACAAAACTCTCTTTTGTGTTCTAACTCTTCCTATCTTTTGTGACACTTGTAAACTCAAGAATAGAGTGTTTGTGCTAAGAACTAGAGAGACTTAGAAGACAGTGTTTGTAGTTGCGTAAATCTTCTTCTTGAGATTGGCAGTCTTCTTAAATGAGAGTTTTAGAGCCGTTGCAGATTGATCTTGATTGAGGCACTGAATCTTCTAAGAGATTTGACCCAAGGGGTGCCTCCCAATCCTACACTTTAGATGGGATGGATTCGTTTATGTTCTTCCTCTTTCATGTCCGCATTTCATGGAGTGAGTTAAGGCTTCGATTTGGTTGGTCAATCTTCTAATATAGTCTTTGAGGAGAGGCATGATATGCTCGAGCTGCACTTGATATATTTCCCTTGTTAGACAGCCTCGATGTCCTTTGATTGAGACTGAGATGGCGGTACTGATTTGGTTTCTTTTTTGATGGCCTGACTTCCTTTAATTTAGCATCATCAATTCTAGACTTCCTTTGTTTTAGCATCATCAAATCTTCGATCTTTTCTTCTATTTGTTGATGCTATGGATGGTGCCTTGATTCCTGCAATCAAAGTAGATAGGATTTAGTGTTGCACAATTGTTATTATTGAAACTTAGATGTAACACAAATAAATAGTAGAAGATAAACTAGAGAATGATGAAGTAATAAGTGATTGCACCTTCCAAGCTTCTGCTATAGACAGTAGCAAAGCCAAGAATTTTCTCTAGGGTGTTCAAATTTGAAAGAAGTAAAAAAAATACTCGACAAAGGGTGTTCAATATATGTTATATACCTTTAAAACCTAATATTTTATCTATATACACAATATAATTGACTACCCTTACCAGAGTGTAGCTCCGCCCCTGGCTATAGAACTATGCGCAACACCATATGATCAGCTTTCTGGAACTAAATATTTATTAATCCCACCCTGCAAGGGAAAGAAACTCCATCATCCTTGAAGCAGATCAACGACGTTAAAAGCATCATAGAACCATATGAAGAGTTTAGGGGATATATTAACGTTCCGTTATTCTAAAAAATCACAACTTCAAGTGTTAAATGTGAAGAGAAATTAAAGTAAGCAACAAACTCTATGTAGTCATTCTTCTGTTCTCTTTAGATGTGTAAAGGCTGAAGTATTACACAATGTTATCACCCTTGTTTCACAGTAGATATCATTATCAGACAACCAAAAGGGAATTTATAGGATGTAAACTAGCAACACAGAAAAATATATACTGTAACTGATTTGGAAGTATTTTTTTGAGATAGTTTGAATCTCACAAGGTTTCTCGCTGACGCGAACACTAAGGTTATCATTCGCCATGCTCTCTTGCTCTTCTTGAATTTCTTTGACGGATTTTGCAACAGAACTTCTGCAGTTATGCAACTCTATTGACTCCAACGTACAAATTTTGCCAATATCTTTAGGAATTTCCTCCAGGTATAAGCATCGTTTCAGAACTAGGCGTTTCAGCATTGGGAAGTTAACACTGCCAGCGTCCCAATGCTTCAGATTTGTCCTGTCGATTAGGAGGAACTTAAGTTGATTGAAATTCTCTTCATCGTTTAATTTCCATACGTCGCCGTCAAATTAAATCCATTGTCTTTAATTTTAAGCTCTTCGAGATTTGGCAGTGTTACAATATTAGCCATGTCTTCCCATGGTAAATAAGTACATCTTAATGTCAACCTCTTCAGAGATGTAGGCAAAGCATACTTACTTGGGAGAAGGTGCGGGTATAATTTTCTGGAGCAGATTATCTTCAATATTTCAAGCTTATTTAAACACGAAAGGTTATTTAGCGTCTGGAAAATCATATCTCTCCTGCATTCTGCCCAAGCGCCATGAATTTTCAGCCTCTTTAGATTGGGAAAACCAGTAAACAATTCCTTAGTACAACAGGAAATACTTATATCTGAAAGTCCCTCGAGATTTTGTAGCTTGTAACCGGACCCTTCTTTACTCGATGGAACACGAAAAGAAGAGATCTTTCTTACCTGAAGATGCCTCAAAAGTTTCATTTTCCAGATATCCGATACTGGTAAATTAGAGTGTCCGCCAAAAACCAAGTTTTGCAGATTATACAGCTCGGACACTGACCTGTGAAGATCATCATAACAGTTGAATTCAAGGTATCTGAGATGTACTAATTTTGTTAACTCGAGAGGGAATTCTCGGAAAGTATACTGAAGGATTGCCAACACTCTTAGAAGTTTGAAGCGCGCTAAAAAAGGTACTTGTTTAGAAAGGGGCGATACAAGTTTTAGTCCATTTAATAAATATAAAGTTCGGGTGAAACTAGAGGATGAATTCCAGCAATCACTCGGAGAAATGGTTGAATGGAAACTACAACGACGAATATAAGGCTTACAAGCAGAATCATTGAATTTTCTTATGACTTTATGAATTCTGGTTACCTGCATAAACTTCTCTTTTTCAGCTTGTCTTAAAATCATGTCGCGCACCAGATCATGAACGCCACATGTTTTCATCTCGCCATTGAGTCTCCGTTTTATAACCATTATTAAGTTCCTACTAATAAGATCCTCCAGCCATTCTTTTCCAATTTCTTCCAAGCTTTTGACCCTTTCATTCCTTAGAAAACCATCAGCAACCCATAATTGAATCAATCTATGAGTTTCAACCTCAAAACCTTCCGGAAAAGCTACCATAGAAAGGAAGCATGATTTCAGGTGATCGGGCAAGTAACTATAACTCATCGCGACCACTCCAAGACATTTATCTGGTTCACTAGCAACGATTTTACTTATAGTTTTGGCAACATCATTCCAACATTTTCGTGTTGTAGAAAGTTTCAAGAGATGTCCTGCACACTAGAAGAGCTAAAGGTAGTCCGTGGCATTTTTGTGCTACTTGTTTTCCGATATCTTCTAATTCAGGAGGACATCCATGCTCTACACCAAACACCTTGTCCTTAAGTAACTTCCAACTATTATCCGAATTCAAAAGGCTCATCTTATGAGGATTGCTATCGGGATCTGCATGCTTAGCGACCTCGTCGTGCCTAAGTCAAAATAATTCGACTCCCATTGTTATCATCAGGAAAAATTCTTGCCATAAGATCCCAAATGTCCTTACTCCAAATATCATCCATGATAGCAACGTACCTCCGATAAAACAAGCACATCAATCAAAGAGCGGGGCAGTTCAATTAAGGTATAAAGTAAGCTCCAAGCAGCTACCACTGATCAACCTTATTCAAGCACATCAATCAATCTTTTTCAGAACTTTTTTTAAACCTTCCACACCCTATTTCTCATCCCCACAAATCCNATGATACTTTTTTTTTTATGTTATAGATAGAGTACTTTTTTTTCATTTCAACAAATGAGATTTTTCTTTTCATGATATAAAAAAGTATTTATTTTATTTTATTTTAACAAAAAAATACTTTCTTTTCATGATGTAAAAAAGTATTTTCTTTCATTAAAGTATTTTCTTTTCATGATGTAGAAAAACTATTTTCTTTCATTTCAACAAAATAAGTACTTTATTTTTATGTTGTAGAAAGAGTACTTTCTTTTTGAACAAAAAAAAGATATTTTCTTTTTAATTATGGAGCACAAATTTCAACGTTATTTTTGCGTAAAAAATATAATGCAGCACATTAGTTCCTTTTCTCTTTGTATGAATTTTTAGAAAAACAATTAAATTCTTGAAGAAAAATAGAGTTCTGAAACGTTGGATATTTGGAGAGGGTATAGGAAACATGTGTTACATCTAAGTTTCAATTATGACAATTGTGCAACGCTAAATCCTATCTACTTTGATTGCAGGAATCAAGGCACCATCAAAGGCATCAGCAAATAGAAGAGAAGATCGAAGATTTGATGATGCTAAAACAAAGGAAGTCCAGAATTGATGATGCTAAATTAAAGGAAGCCAAGCCATCAAAAAGGAAACCAAACCAGTCCCGCCATCTCAGTCTCAATCAAAGGACATCGAGGCCGTCTAACAAGGGAAATATATCAAGTGCAGCTCGAGCATATCAGGCCTCTCCTCAAGGACTATATTAGAAGATTGACCAACCAAATCGAAGCCTTAAATCACTCCATGAAATGAGGACATGAAGAGGAAGGACATAAATGAATCAAGCCCATCTAAAGTGCAGGATTCGGAGGCATCCCTTGGGTCAAATCTCTTAGAAGATTCAATGCCTCAATCAAGATCAATCTGCAAAGGCTCTCAAATTCTCCTTTAAGAAGACTACTAATCTCAAGAAGAAGATTTACGCAACTACAAACACTATCTTCTAAGTCTCTCTAGTTCTTAGCATAAATACTGTATTCTTGAGTTTACAAGTATCACAAGAGATATGAAGAGTTAGAATACAAAAGAGAGTTGTATCAACATCACTATAAATCATCGTTGGTGGTGAACGAACTAAAACCATCACTATTGTAATCCTTTATCAAGACCTAAGAGATTCCTTATGACCCAAGGGAAACTGGACATAAGTACCACACTGGTACCGAACCAATATAAAAACTTATATGGCTTGTGTAGTTTTCAATTCGTTTGGTTCATCTCTACTTTACTTATTTGCTGCGTGAAACCTAGGCGACTAAACTTACAATTAGTCAACCAATTTTTAATAAACCACAATTCACACCCCTTCTTGTACTTTCAATTGGTATCAGAGTCAGGCTCACAAACTTTGCTTAATAGTTGGTGAGGAAAAGATCATAGGATCGAACACAGTTGTTGGTATATTATTTCAAGAAGGAACCTCTCAAGTACGGCCGCCATATTTCAACGGACAATATTTTTCTCATTAGAAAGTATGTATGGAAACATACACCATGTCATATGACATCAAAGTCTGGCAGGTGATGACAAAGGGTAATCTTAAAGATGAGAATGGTTAAGTCATAGTATCAACTGATCCACTTGATTTGGATGATTACACTTATGAGCAAGCTGCCGTCATACTATGAATGCTAAAGCAAAAATTCTACTGTACAATGCTATCAGTGGTAAAGAATAAGAAAAGATCTCAAGCTGTGAAACTGCTAAAGACATATGGGATAAAGTGGAGGTCACATATGAAGGAACCAACAAGGTAAACGAAACAAAGATAAATATTTTGGTTCATGAATATGAGATATTTAAAATGAATGATGGAGAATCAATAGAAGAAATGTTCTCCAGGTTCAGCAAAATTCTTGGAGATCTATAACCCTTTGGTAGAACAAAAAAGTGTGGAGAACACGTCAGAAAAATTCTTAGAAGTCTACCGACAATTAGGCAGCCCAAGTTCATTGCTCTGGAGTGTCAGGACCTTGACAAAATGTCCCATGATGAACTTAGAGGTGATATAAAAGCCTTTGAGAAAACTCACTTGGACAGGAAAATTCAACAAGAAAAGAAAAACACAGTTGCTTTCAAAGCAACTGCAGCTGAACCAGAAGATGAAGAAGATGAAGGAGGAGAACAAGATGAAAACATAGTCATGCTCTCTCAAGTTATAGCAAGCATGATGAGGAAGAACAAAAATAACAGGAGGTAAATCAAAATTTAGAAAAGGAAGGACAAATAATGAAAATGATGGAAGATGCTATGACTGTGGAAAACATGGACACATTCAAGATGATTGTCCCGAACTGAAGAAGAAGCTCAGTAGGAACCTTCAAAAAAAGAAGTCCTTTGGAGCCTGGAGTGATAAAGAAGAATCTAACCATGAAGAAATTGCAAAAATGTATTTCATGGCCATAAAAGATAATAGCAATGAGGACTTAGGAGAGGTTGGACTCATGGCAGATGAGGAAGAAGACTCAGGTGAACTTGGCCTTATAGCAGACGAGGGAACCAGTAAGGTACGTCTTCCTACTTGTCCCCAACTATTATGAACTTCAAGAATTTGTTGATATTGATATTGCAGATATTGAAAGAGTTCTAAATGAACTCAGAAAGATCCAAAGAGAAAAGAAAGTTTGGGCCTTGAAACTGGAAGTTTGCGAAATTGAGCATGACATGCTTCAAGAAGAAGTTAATGAACTTCAACTTTAACTGAATGGATTAAAAAAATCCACAAGTCATAGTTCTGTCAAATCATATCAAACTGCTTCTCATAATTCTTTGATTAGAACTAGAAACTCTTATGCATGCTCCTATTGTGGTAAAAATGGTCACAACACCAACCAATGCAGGAACAGAATCAGAGCAGAAAGAGGCCCTGAAAATCCCAAAAATCCATCGTATTTTTATTGTGGGAAATGTGGTCACACTTCTAACCATTGTAGGTTCAAGGACAACAGGAGATGGGTCTGGCAACCTAAATCCTCTAGTCAAGCTAACACTCAGAAATCTAAGCATTCAGGACCCAAGCAGGATTGGGTACCCAAAAATAAGTAACTTTGTTTTGCAGGAACACCACAAGAAGAATCGAAAAGGAAAATGGTATCTTGACAGTGCGTGTTCCAGACATATGAGTGATGACAAACAACTATTCAAAGCAGTCACCAAACTAGATGGAGGAACAATTACCTTTGGAGATAAATCAAAAGAAAATGTAATTGGAGTTGGAAAAGTTCCTCTAAGCTCAACATGTGATGTGGATGAAGTATACCTGGTTGATGAACTCGGTTACAATCTTCTCAGTATCAGTCAAATATGTGACAATGACTATGAGGTTCGTTTTAAGAAACATGGCTTGTTTATGGAAGACGAATCAGGTAAAGTTATTCTTTCACGAAACAAAGACAAGAATATCTATACTATCAGTAATGTAGATAGTCTTGGTGATCAAATATGCCTTGCCTTTATGATTGATGATCCTTCGGTTTGGCATAGAAAACTTGGACATGCTAGCATGCATACCATTCAAAAACTTTCGAAGCACGATCTTGTCATTGGTCTTCCAAAACTAGATTTTTCAAAAGATCTTATTTGTGTTGCATGTCAATTAGGAAAACAAACTAGTTCATCTTTGAAAATCAAAAACATTGTTTCTACTACTAAACCTGTTCAACTATTGCATATAGATTTGTTTGGTCCAACCAGAACTGCTAGTATCGGTGGCAAAAAATATGCTTTTGTTATTGTGGATGACTTTTCTCGATTTACATGGTTTTTTTTAAGTCATAAAGATGAAGCTCTAAGGAATTTTGAAATTTTCTGTAAAAAGGTTCAACACGAAAAAGGATACTACATTTCCACTATCAGAAGTGATCATGGAGGAGAATTTCAAAGCAAAGCTTTTGAAAACTTTTGCAATGACCAAGGAATATCTCACAATTTCTCTTCAACAAGGTCACCTCAACAGAATGTAGTGGTAGAACATAAAAATAGAACCTTACAGGACATGGTAAGAACCATGATTATGGAAAACTCTCTACCCCACCACTTCTAGGCTGAAGTTGTAAGCACAACATATCATATTATCAACAAGTGTTTGATTCGACCCATTCTTAAAAAGACTCCATATGAGCTATGGAATGGTAAGAAACCTAATATCAGTTACTTTTATCCGTTTAGATGAAAATGCTTCATTCACAATAATGGAAAGGACAATCTGGGTAAGTTTAATCCAAAAAGCGACGAAGGTATTCTCCCTCAAGTAGAGCATATCGAGTTTATAATAAAAGAACTTTATGCATTGAAGAATCAATTCATGATGTTTTTTGTTGATACTAAACCCTCGCTCAAGGAATGAAAAACTTCCTGAAGTTGAGGAAATTTCTATTGTCCCCAAGTCTAT